ATATGAGGATTTTGCATTGCGAAAGTGCGAATTTTTTCTTATATGAGGATTTTGCATTGCGAAATTGCGAATATTCTTTTACATGAGGATTTTATCTTGCAAAAAATTGCAATTATTCTTTAATAAGATAATTTTATTTTGCAGAAATGCAATTATTTTCTCATAAGATGATTTTATCTTATAAAAAAGAATTTTTTTTTAAGTAAAATGTTGTATCGTAAATAAAACGATTTTATCGGTAATAAGATGATGTTAGTTTTTAAAGATGATTTTAACTTAGTAATATGTTTGTATCCCTTACGAGAGAATATTATCAGAAAGTAGATGGTTTTATCTTAAATAAAATGAGTTTATCTTAAATAAGATGCTTTTATCTTATACAAGATAATTTTGTTGTAAAGTAGATGTTTTTCTTAAATGAGATGAGTTTATCTTAAAAAGATTTAATTTTTTAAGAGATGATTTTATCTTAAAAATGATGATATCATCTTAAAGAAGATGTGTTTATCTTTTAAAAGGTGACTTTAACGTAATAAGAGTATAGGAGGAAAAAGCAATTGCTTCTATTTTAGAAGAAATTTGATGAGTTAGAATAAAAGATAAGAAAAGAAGAAATATAGGTATAACATTAAGAGAAGAAACAGTATAAAAATGTTTTTTTTTATTTATAAATAAACCAAAAAAATGATAACTGGAATAATAAATGTTTTGAATTGAATCCGAAGAAAATGAAAGCGCGCGCGTAGCGCGCGCTGTCTGCTAGTCTTATATAAAAAAGGGCATTTGGACCGAGAAGTGCGCGATTTAGAGCCGAATGTATCGCATCTATTGTTGCCTTTTTTCCGCGTTGCCGATTGGTTGGTTGATTGATCGAGTCGAATCGAATCGGTAAGATCAAGAGAGTAAATAATGAAAAGCGATTTTGAGATAGTTCGTCGTATATGTAGAGAAAATTAAAAACGTAACTAAAGTCACGTGACAGGAAAGAGTAGAAAAACAACACAAAAATAACGTGACTGTAATTTATATTATATATATAACATTAAATAATACATATTATACATATAATTTATTATATATTTATAATATTATACTTTATATTGTATTATATGTATTATATACATACTACAGTAATGTCACTGACCTTCGCCGCGCGATTTTGGCGGGGTTACTGACCTCGGCCGCGCGGCCTTGGCGGGGTCATTGACCTCGGCCACGCGGCCTTGGTGGGGGGGGGGGTCACTGACCGCGGGCACGCGACTGCGGTGGAATCACTGATCTCGGCCGCGCGACCGCGGCGGTGTTACTGACTTCGGTCACGTGATTACGGTATATATACAGGGTGTTTCAGAACTATGGGATCAAACTTCTAGGGGTTATTCAGTGCAACAGTAGAAAACATTTGAGTATAGGGACCCATGTCCGGAAAAGTGTCACTACCGC